TGCACAGGAGAGTTCGGCTGGAGCAGCGGCCGGGGTAGGCGCTTTACCGCAGCGCTACGACGCCCTGACGGAGGCGGCGTGGGATGGGCTGGAAGATCGGCACAACATCGACTGGCACTTGGTTAGTTCCCTCTTGTGGTCTGTGCGTGTGTGACCTGTTGGTCTTCTGTGCTAATTTCCTCGAGTTGCTTTCCTTGCACCCACCCACTTGCACAAGTCGCCGAGTGATAGATTCGTCACGGCGCCTGTGGATAGGCACGCCCGCTTAGCATGTTGTTCAAACTGGTTGCATAACCAGCAGGTGCGATGTGTGATGTGTGTGCACTCGCGTCGCGTGTGTAAGAAGTGTTCGCGCTGGTCCACACCCCTGCCACGCCGCGTCGCGCCCCCGCCCGCGCCCCCGCGCCCATGGTAGTGAATAGAAAACTGGGTCCGGACCACCTGCTCCGGTCCATCAGGCCCTCATTGGTCCAGACCGGTACCAGGATCGGCACTGGTATCGTGTACGTCGTCCTGCACCCCCGTTGCCGCCGCTGCCACTATGCCGTCAGCTCGCCCTGCTTCCGAAACTCCACGTTCACGTCCAGCCTCCAGCCCCACCCTCCCCGCTCCACGCCCTCGGCTCCCGAGGAGTTCGCTTTGTAGTCTACGAAAGCCGCGTACACACTCCTGGGATGTGTACTTTTTGTTACTTAGCTCTGTAAGTCTATAAACACGCGAAGCTTCCGCACTTTCTATACTACGCGATACTACGTGGTTACTCTGCAAATCCAACTGTAGGACTGTCCTACACTGATAAACCAAGTGTGCAACTGCTAAACACTTGTAACTGTGCAACTCCTAGTTCAACACTGGCAAGTGTTCAACACGGTTTTTGTGCACGTGCAAGTGTTTAACTCGATAGTTGCACACTTGTAAGTGTTCAACAGGGGAGTGTGCAACGTGGGAGTTGAACACTTGCAAGTGTGCAACTATCGAGTTGCACACTTGCAAGTGCACAAAAACCGTGATGAGCACTTGCAAGTGTTGAACTGGGAGTCGCACACTTACAAGTGTTTAGCAGTTGCACACTTGGTTTATCAGTGTACTGTTGCAACAGTAGGACAAGGATTCCTACTGTTCTGACAGTAGGACAAGCTATTCCTACAGTTGCAACAGTAGGAATAGTAGGACTGTCCTACAGTTGCAACAGTAGGAATAGTAGGACTGTCCTACAGTTGCAACAGTAGGAGTAGCTTGTCCTACAGTTGCAAAAGAAGGAATCCTTGTCCTACTGTTGCAACAGTAGGACAGTCCTACTGTTGGATTTGCAGAGTAATCACAAAATTTTATGTGTGTATGTACATTTTGTACGTAGATACATATAAATTTCTGCTGATACACGTAGTAAAATGTGCGTAAGCTTCGCAGGTGTACAGACTTACACAGCTGGGTAAAACAAAAGTACACTTCCCGGGAGTGTGTAGGCATTGTAGGGATTCAACAGTTCTCCCTAATGACAGAGGGTAGAAATGAGGTGCTCGGGCCGCACACCATTCCAACCCCTACGCCACGCCGCCCAGGCCGGCACTCATATGCCCGCGAGTCGAGTTTTCTTTGTGTGGATGGAAAACCGACCTGTCCGCGACCCCCCACGTCCCACGTGGCCCCACTATGTGCCATAGCACGTTCCCCGATGTCACGCGACCAGCTGGCTCTTATTTACCCATAAGGGCCCCTTTGTGATATGCGGGCTGTGTATCCTTTTAGCGGCGCATACTGATAAACCAAGTGTGCTACTGTTAAACACTTGTAACTGCACACTAAAATCTTATGAACTTTTTTATGCGCAGCTTACTGAGTTCTGTGTGCATGCTGTGTTGTGCATTATTTTAATACACATTTATGAACAAATTTCACGAATTAAGTGCAGTTATGAACTATTTTGTTCATAACTGAGTATTAAATAATACGCAACTCAGCATGCACACAGAACTCAGTAAGCTGCGTATAAAAAAATTCATAAGATTTTAGCGTGTGTGCAACTGGGATCCCAGTTCAACACTTGCAAGTGCGCAACACGTTTTTGTGCAATGATACTTGTTCAACTCTTTAGTTGTACACTTGTAAGTGTTCAAAAGAGGCGTGTGAAGCATGGGAGTTGAACACTTGCAAGTGCACAACTGTCGAGTTGAACACTTGCAAGTGCACAACTGTCGAGTTGAACACTTGTACGTGTTGAGCACTAGTAAGTGTTTAACTTTAAGTTCTACACTTACAAGTGTTTAGCAGTTGCACACTTGGTTTATTAGTGCATTCCTGCCTGGAGGATTAAAGGGGGGGGGGGGGCTCTCTAGAAGGAAGTCATCAACGGAGTCGCACCACACTGTCTGAGGCACGGGTGACGGTGATCTCACATCAAGAGCCGGCGCCCTAGTTTATAAAATTGTATTTGCTGGGAGGCCCAGCCTGTTGTGTTAGGTTGACAAAGTAAAGCCTTTCAGGATGGGCCACCGTCTACACTACACACACCTGTGTCGCGGGTTTGCCTGCCCATCGCCGTGCATAAGCGCCGCCTCAGGAAACGTTCGTCGTGGGCAACTTACAAGACCACGACTAGATGCAATGCTGTTGCAGAAGAGTAGGGGTGTACTTACAGCGTCGCAAATGTGCTCTGGCAACTCAAATGCGTACGCATTGCCTACATTTTAAATGCATACAATTCATATCGCAGACGTGCCCATCCCTACATTAATTTGAGTAGAAAACGCAATGTGCACCAAACTCAATGCGTGGGATTTCTGTAATCTGGACTTGGGAATGTCTGCTTTACTAATTGCCGACTTGTGGTTTGCAACTATTTTTAATCGAGACATACCGTTGATGCATTATAATGATAGGCAATGTATGCATTAGAGTTTACCGAGTAACGTTCATTCTTGTGGCCTAACTGATCCTGTTTTGCAGGTCTCAGCTACCAGTCACCACCTGCACAGGAGAGTTCGGCTGGAGCAGCGGCCGGGGTAGGCGCTTTACCGCAGCGCTACGACGCCCTGACGGAGGCGGCGTGGGATGGGCTGGAAGATCGGCACAACATCGACTGGCACTTGGTAAGTTCCCTCTTGTGGTCTGTGCGTGTGTGACCTGTTGGTCTTTTGTTATATGTTTTCCAAGTCATAGTTTGAACACTTCGAGAAGAGAGTGCATTGTTTCATTATTTTGTTTCCTATATTATAAAGTCGGAAACTCTTGTATTTTATATGCCATTGTATCAGAACTGTGAGAGAAATAGAGGGAAGACATATTAAACAAAAATATCGAAATAATTGTAGTTGCCCGAGTCCTGTTTGTACTTTTGTAAGAATGTGCAATATGACGTTCCTCATTACTTAGTAATTACGATCAAGTAATGTAGAGGTTCTCGTTTGTTGTACTGTGCTTGATGCACCCGTGTGTGCTGGTTGCTGTCTCGTTCGGGCCGCCATGGGTATTGACGGCAGGAAAGTAGGGACGAGTCAGGCACATCATACGCAGTTGTAAACAATTTCAAACATCTGTAAATTCATGCAATTCCAAAACTATCTAACTATACATTCATTCCGAAAGGGTCCTTGGTCCTGCACCCCCTACGATTGTGGACAATGAGTATAGGCGAGTCGCTGAGAGTATTTAGCGTGTAGGAGTGTCGCCTGGTTTACAAGCAGTATTGTAGTGGGGGACCCCTATAGACTTGACTTGACTTGAGAGAACCAGGCCACCCAATGGCAGGGATCGTCCAAAGAGTACGTCCGCTTTTCTCAAATTCAATCAGCGAATTAAAAGAGCTGGGCGCCTGAGAATCCCAGGGTAGGCCACCCCGCGGTACGCACATGCCTCACAGGCAAGATGTTGCCTACCGATCAGGCGCTCTGAGAGCTTGCACAGGCGCATCTTGGCAGTTTCGTAAAATCGAATGACCCACGTACTTTCCGGATGATCCTCTATTCATTCCACATGTGTGGTCTGAATGTGCACTCTCAGACCTGTACTGATATTTTCTCAGTATATATCTACGTTTTTACGCAGCAGGATTACTGACTAATTTGTTACTTATTATGTATACTTTTGTAAGTAGTTTACTGACAAAAAAAGTTTTTGTCAGTACTGTAAAAAGAATTTATTTCGTATTACTGATTAAAAAAATTGTCAGTAGCTTATAAAGGTTTTTAAGCAGCAGGAACTACTGACAATTGGCCAGAAAGTCATTATTACTGAGAAAAAATATCAGTACAGGTCTGAGAATGTGGGAGTGGGTTGTGAGTTAACTGTGCCTACTTTATCAAATAAACACAGTGGATAATGGATTACCAGAGTATTTCACGCACTATTGTAATGTTCCAGGAGTATGCCTCGGTTGAAGAAGTTGTGGTGCGAGTGTGCTGTTCGTAAAGGGGATGGTGACAAACATCGGAATGGAGCTGAAGCCAGCATAAGTCAGGTAAGACAATCTTCGCTTCTGATACGCAGTATACTGTGACGTGCTGCTTATTTGTTGCCAAGGCAAGCTGTTAGGGAAATTAAGACATCGGGAAGGTGTTCAGAAATATTTACTCCCAGTAGACCATGCCGATTCCGAAAAATAAAGATTATAGAAACATATTTACTATGAGGAAACTTTATTTCCCAGTAGGTGACTACTATTTACTCAAAAGATTATAAATTTCAAATTATATTCAATTTCAAATACAACACAAATTCGTTTAGATTTGCAGTAGTAAAAAAATATTCACAATATTTTCAATTGATACACTATTATACTCAAACAACTAGAACAAAGCAGCTGGAGTAAAAAGAATATTCACAATATTTTCAATTGATACACTATTTTACACAAACAAGTAGAACAAAGCAGCTGGAATAAAACAATATTCAGAAAATTTTCAATTGATACAGTATTTTACAAAAACAACTAGAACAAAGGGGGGGGGGGGCAGTCCTTTGGTTACACAGTCTGCTACGTTGGCTGTAAAGTAAACCTACTATCAATACTCGTACTCGTATAGGATAAAAAGACAGAAACAAACTTGAAATCGTACCAGATCACGGTCGCGTTGCCTTCTGTTGCACCTCTGCTGCTTTTTTTTAAGTCGCCTCCTTTCAGCTCCTGTGATGCCTGTATAACCAACGACGAAAAATTAATGGTAGAGTTACTTCAAATTCAAATCACTTTTAAAGCAATAATTTGTGCCTACCTCTAGCTGCACACCAAGCATCCAGGTTTTGTAAGTCTGGCCCGTCAGGTTTCTGTGTAGGTAGTGGGGGGCCTTCCTGCTCTTCGATGTTCTGCTCTAGGGCCAGGCCCATGGCGGGCAGCTCCAGCTCTTGGGATGTTCCTGGCTCGCCAAAATACACGAAGATGCCTGTGTAACCAAAGACCAAAAATAAATGGTAGAGTTACTTAATATTCAAATCTTTTTCAAAGTTAGAATTTGTGCCTACCTGTAGCTTCCTGGTCAGGGAGTCTTCGGTTGTCATCGAATGACACGAGGTCATGGTCGTAGTCCTGCTGTTCCTGCGGATCCTGCGGGGCCTGCGGGGTCTGCGGGGCCTTTCCTGGCTCGCTAGAATCCACTATGCCTGTGTAACCAAAGACCAAAAATTAATGGTAGAGTTACTGAATATTCATATAACTTTCAAAGTTATAACTTGTGCCTACCTATAGGTTGCTGGTCAGGGAGCATTAGGAAGTCTTCAAATTCAAATGAGTAGTCATCATGCGGGGCCTCATGCGGGGCCTCACGCGGGGCCTCACGCGGGGCCTCACGCGGGGCCTCACGCGGGACCTGCGGGACCTGCTGCGGAACCTGCGGGACCTGCGGGACCTGCGGGACCTGCGGGGCCTGCGGGGCCTGCGGGGCCTGCGGGGCCTGCGGGGCCTGGGCTACTGGTTCTGTAACGAAATGTTACCGTAAAGACTTTGACAAAATTTGGAATTATTTGCAAGTGTATGTAAACACTGTTTTTTCAATGGCAATGATCATTGCCATTATTGGCAATGAGTACTACCTTTTATGGCAATGAAGCGCCTTTTTGGCAATGAACTGCGCAATGGCAATAAGACAAAAGTAAGATCTTTCCAGCGGCAATGACTCGTTCATTGCCAGCCCAACGGCAATGTCCATTGCCAAAAATGGCAATGAACGGAGATAAAGGTTTTGAAGTGTTCCCTAAATTATTGGCAATTCGTTCATTGCCGCAATTTTGGCAATGAAGTCCCATTGCCGCAATGTTGGCAATGAAGTTTCATTGCCGTAGTGTTGGCAATGAAGTTTCATTGCCACAGTTTTGGAAGTGAACTCTTCATTGCCAAAATTGCGGCAATGAACATTGCCTTTGGACTGGCAATGAACAAGTTGCCAATAATTTAGGGAACACTTCACAACTTTATTTCCACTCATTGCCAAAATTGGCAATGAATATTGCCTTTGGACTGGCAATGAACGATTCATTGCCGCTGGAAAGATCTTACTTTTGTCTTATTGCCATTGCGTGGCATTGCCACAAAAGGTAGTACTTTCATTGCCATTGGAGGTACAGTGAAGTTATCAAACTTAGAAACCCTGATGTTTTTACGAACTTTTGCAAATTCCACCCCCAAATATGCCCCCCCCCCCTACCCCGAGCATCCTTTCTGTACCTCAAAGGATAGGAAAGATAGCGAGTGAACAAATTAATTTATACGGGGAATAGATAGGTTTGTTCATTCACAGTTCAGGCAAACAGTAAAATTGAAGTGGGTGACGATCCCTAATGTAACTAACAACAACCGTATGGAATACGCTGAATCACTTACGTTCAATAAGCACGGGTGGCATGTCCCGTGGCGGCTCAAGGTCAGGTGCTGGCTCGTCTGAAATAAAGCAATGCCTGTTGTTGAAAGCAGTAGAGTAAATTGCGTGACCACTGTAAACGACGTGGCCACTTTTAATGCCAAAAATTTGGCATTCTTTTTTGAATGCCAAAATTTGGCCATTTTTAATGCCAAATTTTGGCCTTCCTCAGATGAATGCCAATTTTTGGCCTCTTTTAATGCCAAATTTCGGCCTCCTCCAGTAAGAATGCCAAATTTTGGCATTAAAAGTGGCCGAAAATTGGCATTCATCAGAAGGAGGCCAATGGTTTAACAGTGACCTAATTACAACTCGTACTTACCAAATACTGGTTCCGGCCCGTCCGGGTCAACTTCGTATGGCCTGAAAGTAAAAGTATACAAATTATAAAGAACAAAAACTCAAATAATGCTGAAATTGACTTTTATATCGGTGCACTTACTCAGGGACTTCCAAGTCTTCGTGGAACAATGCAAAGAATTCCATTTGTTCTCGAACTCCATGGGCCGCCAGAGTCAAGAAATCCTTTATGTTTTTGTTTAGTGTCCAGTCTTTGTAGGCAGTCGTTATGTCTTTGTCAAATTGTAGGTCTCTGTGGTTAAATGGTTTGGTCTTTAGTCTTTTTGTCCTGTGTGTAGTTCTGGTCGTTCCTGTCTCTATTGTCGTGTTATAGTCGTAGTAAGCCTTGTGTTCAAGTCGGCGTATCAGTGCTGTGAAGGGAAACGGAACATGAGTAATACGACAAAGGAAGTGCAGTACGGCATGAATACACACTAAAATACTAGGGACTATTTCCTGCATTAGTTAGGCAGGAATCCGTGCATGCATCTGGAACATGTGTACGATTTCATGCCTAATTACAGACTTATAGTGCGCTGTTGTGTAGTAAAATATTACACAAGCAAACTTGTGCATAGTTGTGCATGCACGGATTCATGCAGAGTATTGCAGTAAATTATCCTTAGAGTCGTACACTAGCTCATGTACTAGGGATTTTAAATATAATTTGTGTACAAGTACGCATCAAAACCTGCATAACATTGTACGTTAGGCTTCCGCACAAAAAGAAATCTACACAATTATGCACTTTTAAAAAGTCCCTAAACATTTAGTGTGTACCATCGTTTCGTTGGATAACTCACTCAAGAATTTCCAGAAGCTGGGATGTCCATAGTTATTGAGACTAGTGTTGAGTTGGCGGTGTAGCGATTCCTGCCCGCTCGTTGTGTGTATGACCCGACCCTTCACACTCAGGTCAGCAGGCTTATTGCCGGACAGCCACTCACGCTTGAAATATTGAAGGTAACGGAGAAGTGCTGCAACCTCTTGCTCCGTTGCCTGTTCATTAGTGAGGTCGCTGGCCATGCTCCAGATAATATCAAACGCTTCTAGCATATGTTCTGCTTCGAGCCTGGGTATGGCAGCGAGCATGCGCAGCACCCGGCTCACAAGGCCCGTACTTGTAGTTAGAAATTTCTGCAGGCCCTTGGCGTTTCGGTACATGGCCTGTGGAATTTACAAATTAAAGATTAGTCTCGTAAATCGATGTAAATTAAAAACAAAACTAAAACATCGCAATATTAGCGCAGCCGTTTCATTGGCTCTCAAGCCGCTCAAGTCGGCGAGAAGCAAGGGCTCGTGGGGTCGCGAGGTAGTTCAAGGAACAGAGCGATGATCGATGTCGGCCCGCTGGGCCTTACAGCGACGCGATACAGGCTTGCGCTTTCCAGAGCAAGGGCCAGGCGCGTATGAAGGGGGGGGGGGGCGATCGCCCCCCCTGTGAGCCCTAAAGGGCCGCCTGAAAGGTAGGCAATTTGCGGTACAAAACCCCTGTAAGTAGGCAACCCACAGTCCAAGGCAAGACAGGGCGGAACGGCAATCACTTCGTTATCAACGGCAATCGGCAACTTTACCTTCGAGTAGAGCCACAAGGGGCGGCTAGGACGGCCCTTCCCACGCGAAACGAAGGGGGGATGCTCTCCATAAAGTCACGAATTTCGCGCTCAGTAAACGCACAGAGAAGACAGTGTGTGCACGTGTTCGCACGGCGAAGGGTTTCAACGGGGTAGAAGTCAATGAGTAGCAAGCGTGCAGTGCAGATACTTACTCGGAGGAAATGAAAGTAGCACCCCCATTGCTTCATGTTGGGAAAGGCCTCCTTCCATCCCTTCCTCTGCCCGTCATCCCAGTCTGTGACGACAGCCTGGCCCCGCAAACCCAGCTCCTTTAATTTTTGGAGAACGGCTGCGTATGCAGTGGAGGTGCCCCTTGTCATCACAGCGTAGGCTAGAGGATACATCTGAAAGCAAAGCGATACAGATTAAAATCACATGCCTTCAGAAAAAGTACTGTGCTACACAGTGTTGTGGCAAGTCAATTGTGCAACCGCTGTCCGTACTTCATCTACTTACTTGATTATTGTGGTAGACTGACACGATGAATACATGCTTGGACTTGTTAATGTATGGCCTAATTTTATAGGTGTCATCTCCTTGGATTACGTCGTCATTCTGGAGTATAGCAAGCATTCTCTTGCTTGCAAAAACGAGTGATTCCTCCTCGGGCTGCCCCACTATGCCCTGATAGAATTCTGTATTGTCGTCCTCTGTCCGTGCTAGAAAAGAAAAACGTACAAACTATAATAAGTAACCATGTCGTTCTCTTCTTATTCTCGTCGTACTGTCCACTTACCCATAAATCTATTATCACTATCCATGAGGATGGCCTCTGCTTCCTGGAGGAAGCGAGGGGACCGTGGTAACCTCCTACTCCTCACATATTGGACGTGGTTTAGCAAGTTTTCCTTCTTGAAATATTTCCTTAGGAAAGGATCTTGAATGCTGAAACAATCACATGTTAAATTAGAACGTGACATTTAGTACACACTTTACTTGGGGCTACGGCTGTACCCGTGCCGAGGGTACGGTATAGGGAGGGGGATACAATATCATGTCTCACGTACAAAAGTTGAAGGTTCAGTAGATTTAACAAAAAGCAAGCTGCTAGCAAACGCTTGCTCGCAAACACAAGTGACTAGCTGGCGTGTAAATCTCTGTAGCGTTTTGTGACAACTGAATTATCCTCGCGTTCGTCTTTGGCTGGAACTAGATGTGTTTATTTAGTATTGCACTGGGAAGGGAGGGGAAGGGGGGAGGGAGTGGAAATCCGCCTACAGAACGCAACTCGAGTGAAGCTGAGCAGTGCCGGTGAACCACTTGAACATCATAAATTCGGGAGTTGGCAAGCGCGAGCAGGATCACGATCATAACGTCGAGTGGCGGCCACACTCCGAGCGGATAGAAAGGGTATGTTGAACGTAGACCCTATGCGACGTCCGATGTTGTGTCCCCCACCCCCCCACTAATGTCGATATAGCGAGCTACTTTTAATTTGCAATGAATCCAGAGGAAGTTGGCGTGTGCACGTGGCGCAGTGTTTACAATCGGCCTGTCGGGTGCGGGGCCGGTGGGCCTACCAGATATTCCTCCTGTCGTTCTCCCTCCCACCTGTCGAGAGATGGGAGGCATAGAAACAGCAGACTGTCGAGTAGGCCCACCGGCCCCGCACCCGACCGATTGCAAAACAGAAACGTGGCGTCTGGCTCCGGCGATGCTTTGTTTACAAACACGCGATATGGGGGGCCTCACGCATTGAATCGCGTACGTTATCGTCTCGTGATGAGAAAACAATTAATCGTAAATCGCCCTGTGCACGAGAAAGAAATTGAGGCGTGGGGAAGGGAGTACTTACTTGCTCATAAAACCGTCGTAAACCGACGATAGAGACTGCCGCCAATCCTGCTGCACGGCCTGCTCCTGCAGCACCTTCCACTGACGGCAGAACTCCGCAAAGTACGGTGATGATAAGTGATTATGCACCATATTGCAAGCGTTAATCCGCACGTCGGTGAAGTCTTCGGCACAGGTCGCTCGTACATGGCAGTGTGTTGCCTTCCGGTCGTGGTTGATGCACTTGAGAACGTAGCGGTTTGACCTTGGTTGCTGCCTTTCCACATAGAAGTAGTGGCCATCGTGGACCACCACGGAGTGACCACGCTCCGACGGATAGGTTATTGGGTTTCCGTCGTAGACCGGCATGATGAGGGAACTAACGAATGGAGCGCAACGGGTCCAACAAGAAAACTCTGGGAAGGGGTGGGGGGTAGGCTTTGGCTGGAGGACGCCGACCGCGGCCAATGAGTATGTCATAATAATGTTTCTAGGAAACTTGGAATTTGTGATTGAATTATTCGATATTTTCTAGAAGTATCAGTTCTCTTCAAATGCAATAACATTTGAATTCGCTTCAATTTGCAATAATATTTTTGATCGTTTCGTCGAATTTCTCATGTCGGTAATAAAGTCGAGATGAGCTTTTGTTTTTGGGACGTTGCGTTCGTGTTAGATTTGTACTCGTTTACCCTACAATGAAATTGCGATATATTTGTGTTTATAATTGATATCATATTTGATCTCTTTGACTGAAAAGAAATGTATTTGTGCATTACTATGAGGTGAGATTGTTCGGTGTAAAGGGAAGACGATATATACAAGACACAGGTCCTTGTATGCCCATAACCTATGTACTTGCTTGCGCTTCCCTTCTATAAGACCAACGCTCTCCTTCCCGTTGTCGTTCGACACCGTTTACTGACAACGCAACGGTGCAGACGGCGGCTAGGCCCCGCGGGGGGGCGGGGATCATTTTTGGCTCGCAGTCGGTGAAGTGATGAGATGGGGCGAGAAGTTCGCCAAGGGGTCGAGCTTTAGCTTTAGCAGGGACAAAATATCTTTTGCCAACCGAATATCTTTCCCTTACAATTTGTAGGAATCCCGTTGTTCGATAGTGTGGGCAGTGGTGCTCCAATTTTTTAGCAGTTGTGTGTGGGAAGAGTCACAGACAGGTGACGGTAATTTGCCCGGCAGGTGCACTGATATACCAAGTGTGCAACTCCTTGTTCAACACAGTGCTTAGCACGGTTTTTGTGCACTTGCAAGTGTTGAACTCAACAGTTTTGTTTTGGCCAGAGGGGTACAGCCCGTCGGACCCTTTTCAGCACCTCCCTACCGCGAGTCGCGCCCCTTCCCCCCCCCCACCAACCTCCCGCCACCCCCCCAAAAAATCGCTTCTAAATGATAGAATAAGGCAGAGAAGAACTGTTTTTAACAATATTTATTTTATTGAAGTGAAATGGATTGCAACTATTTGGTCTTTCCAAATACAGATATGTGGTACGGGTTATTGAAAACGTTAACGCTAACGCTAACGTGAGAGACAGTCCCGCCGAAGACTTCAACTTTTGACGCTGTGCTTTTGACGTGAGACTTTTGACGTTACGTTGGCGTGGGGCGTTGGCGCGGGGCGTTGGCGCGGGGCGTTGGCGCGGGGCGTTGGCGCGGGGCGGGGCGTGTCGTGGCGCGGCGTGGCGCGGGGCGGGGGCGGGGGCCAACAGTAGGGACGTTGTTCTCGCGGCCGGCGGCTATAAATAAAAACTGCTCATAAATGTTATGTTTGTATTACTTAGCGGCAAGCATTCGTGCCTACGTACGACCGCGTACGGCGTACCACCACGGAATCGGCCCATGGACTTACCTACGGGTAGAGACAGCCACAAGGGACTGTCTAAAAATCTAGTCATAAGGTCTGATATGTTCATACGTCTACTTCACGGCGCTACCGCAGGGCGCTATCTCGATCTCGCGCCCCTGCAAGGCGCATTTGGCGCCCCCTTGGGGAGCTCGGGGGGGGGGGGGTTCCTGCCCCCCTGGCGGCGTGTGGCATAGCGGTGAAAGTGTTTCAGTAACAAATGTTCATTTTGTTCATTTTCATTACAGGTCTTGGAGGCCAAGGGGGACCTGAGAGGGCACAGTAGTGGGCCTTTGCTCAAGGCAATCTGCCCGCAAATTCACCTATGAATTCGCGAATACGTCTTCCGGCAATTGTGCGTTTGCTGTTCCTTGCCACCCAAACGTTACAGAAGAAAAGAAGGATCATTTCTATGTAGTGCAGTGCTAGTTCATAGTGGCTCAACCAAGCAGAGCACAGTGAAAGTGATGAGTGGTTACTACATCGGTAGGAGTTTCCTCGTCGTTTCTTCTCCTACAACTGTATGCACAAGAAGTTTACTGGCCTGCCCACCCTTTCGGAGGAAGCACCCCGGCCTCCGCCCTGCCCCAGTAAAGCGGCGAGAATGGGAGCAAAGGAGATCATTCAGCATCCGGTTTACAGGTAGGATATTTCTCGCTCTCGGCCAACCGTTCTTGGCATCAAAAGGGATTACATCACAATAGAACAAACTGTTGTATGCAATTTGTCGTAAATGACCAAATTCTTAATTCGCTTACCTCTTTCACTGTGAAAAATACTCACGTAGATCTTTAACATATTTTGTAATTTACGGTTTACAAAATGTGTTGTAAATTTACGGCAGCCCATTGTTGCTCATCAATGAATTTCCAGTCGATACGAAGTGCTTGTCATTTTACAATTTGAAATTGTAATTTTACGATACACATGGGAAATTTTTCCGTTAAACCTACAACTATTTTGCACAGTGTCTTGTCCTGTCTTCTCTGATTAATCCAACAGTGTGCATTGCACACTGTATGTAACGTGTGCATGGGCATGCTCACTGTATATAACGTGAGCATAGGCATGCCCACGGTACCGCGTATGTGAAGTTTAATTCATACCCGTGTTGCTGGTTTGGCTACTCTAGGGGCCATGAGCCCTATGGCGCCCACACTGTTGGATTTTCAGCGTTAACATGTCACGTAAGAGCCATAACTAGACAAAAGAAAATTTAGCAAACGTTGCTCAACCTTACAAAGGCTGTAAAAAGTGTGTATTTGTCGCAATGCCACGAAATTACTTGACTGTGCGGACCTAATTACTGTAAGTTGAATATTGCCTTGATGCAAGGTGGACCCGCGATTCTGTAAACCCTTGATAACTGCACTGCACAGGGCTCGAGGGCAGGGATGGAAACTTAAGGTTTTCATTCCTTTTCGTTCCTCGACGTTTTCTCATAAATGACAAGGCCTAGGAAGATACGAACACTACTAGAGGGTGAATAACGATGTCCTCAAATTGAACTCCCATGAGAATTTTCTTCAAATTGCAACTCCTTCATGGATTTTTTCGCAAAGGAACGTAACAAAACGTGTTGTGCAGAATGTGCAGCCCTCAACACGTTTTATTTCGTTCCTTTGTGAAAAAGTCCATGAAGGAGTTTAAATTAGATGAAGGTTCTGATGGGAGTTCAATTCGAGGACATCGTTATTCACGCTCTAGAAGTGTTCGTATCTTTCTAGGCCTTGTCATTTCTGATAAAACGTCGAGGAACGAAAAGGAATGAAAACCTTAAGTTTCCATCCCTGGTAATAATTGCTAAAAATGCGCGTCATTATTGTTTACATCGATATTTATCCCGACTGGCAAAGTCCGATCACAATAGACGAAAAAATGAATAAAGGCGTTGTGCGTATCCAGATCGCACCCAGAGAAAAGCCTGCTAGGATTTTGCATAGTATGCTTGGATTCAGCATACGTGCTGATTGAATTTCCGCCAAGCATATTACAGCTGTTCGAAGCATATATGCTTGGTTCCAGCATTGCTGATGCACGACCCGGGCATGATCAGGCCGGTTCGAGCATCTGAGTCCAGGTATGATCGTGTTTGAGCTAGACAAAATTGGAAAACAAATGTTTGGTTTTGGCTTTGTTCGTTCGTCGAGTACTATAACATAGCGACCCCAACAACGTGGAAGTCGAAACTTTTCCGTTGAAAATCGGATTATAAATGGGGTATTATAGTTAGTGGGTGATATTTAGGCTCCGTTTATGAGGGGGTGGGTCTAGGGTTTTGAACACAATTTCTTCGAACTCGACGACCCGAAAAACGTGGGAGTACACACTAAATTGTAATGTACTTGGTCATCGTGTTTTGTACATGATGATGTGCAGAAGTACACCTACAGCTAATTATGTACATCTTTGTACATTTTGATGCAAACTTTTGTACCCAACGATTCACAAGTTTGTGCAGACATGTACATGTATCACACTAAACCCTTATGCATAACGTTTGTGCATAACCCTTGCAGTATTTGCAGCAGCCATAGTTATGCACAAATTGCGTGCATACCTATGCAAAATAAATGTCCATTATGCATAATTTTGTACATATCTATGTACAATTCGTGCATAGTTTATGCGAACGAACTTGTGCATAACTATGGCTGCTTAAATTACTGCAGGTTTATGCACAACTTCATGCATAAGGGTTTAGTGTGTGCATAAAAAGCACACGAACATTTAGTGTGTAGAAGCT